TGTGTGTGTGTGTGTGTGTGTGTGTGTGTGTGTGTGTGTGTGTGTGTGTGTGAGCGGGTATACCTATCCTGATGGGGTCACAATGTCCCCATAACGTGATAAAAATCCGTTTTTTTTTCCTTATGGGGACCGGTTTCCTGGTCCTCATAAGGGAAAACTCTATTTTATAGAACTCGGTGACTGCTATGAAAAAACTAAAAATGCAAATACTCTTGTATTTAGTTTGGTTACTTATGGTTAAGGTCAGGGCTGGGTAGGGGTTAAGGGTGTCATGTTGGGATTAGAGTTTTCCCTATAGAAATGAATGGAGAGTCCCCACAAACATATAATTACAAACCTGTGTGTGTGTGTGTGTGTGTGTGTGTGTACTACTTGTATAAAAAACATTGGCCTGTTAATCTTCATCAGATAAGCACCACAAATGTCTACAAGTTAAAAAAAATGCAAATGCTTTTTTAGGTTTTTTTAGAAAATTTAAAAATGGTGATGCAAAAATCATAAGAAATTTACAAATGAGAGGGGGCCATTCGGCCCATCAAGCTCGTTCCATCAGAGTTACAATGGAATGATTCATAAACTATCTGAGAAGAGGGACATTTGAAACAGCACACAAAATGCCTTATGTATGTCTTTTTTTAAATTTCCCTTTTAAATGCATCAGTTGGATTATTTATGATGATATTATATACATTCAGTTTTCGTAAATTGATTTTGCATCCATTTCATTTCAGTTCCACCTCCCCCAGTGACTCCATCCCAAACAGGTGAGACATCTTTCTTGTTTAGTGGTGCACCTTCCCTGTCCGTGAAGAGGGAAGCGGCCCTTCACTTCCCGCCCCTACGTCCCGCTGGTCTGGCGATTGCTGCCAATCTCCTGGCTCTCCCAGTTAGACACCATTTCACGCTAACGCTGCCTTTCCTGCCGCAGCCGGTGTGATCATGGTAGCGGACATGTCTGAAATTTGCAGGCTACCTGCTGATATCATGTGTTTGTAAGATTTATGACGCTTTATCTGGGATTGTCACAGATCCTCTTTTATTTAGCACAGAACTTGTTAGCCAAAATGCTAACGTCTATCCACTTTCACTTGCTGTGCGGAGATGAAGAGTTGCACATTATGGGATTTGAGGTCGCCAGGCAGTTCTGTGGTCCTGTTGGAATATGCTTGTGCTGTCCCTCCTGTAGTTCCTCCCAGGCCCGTCAGTCCCCATGGATACGCTGGCATCGTGGTGGTGGTGCTTGGCCTCCTCGTTGCCCTGGCGGTGCTGGCCTTCCTGTTCATCCGCAGGAGGGGCGGTGCCCCAATCACAGTCCCACCCAGCTTTGAGAACATGCTGTACTTCGGCTCGAACCGCAGACCCGACGTAGACATCTTAACCAAGAACATGGAGGTCCACCCCGAGGGGAGCAAATGAAGGATTCTGGGGGGAAATTGTGGTGCTGAGTCCACTACATCTCCCGCAAACATGCTCACATTTTACCAGCCTTTTCAGTGTCCTTCTGACTCTGATAAGCTCGTGTACATAGCGGGTTAGCAACAAAGCTAACACGACGCTCCGATTTACCGCATTTTTCGATTGTTTTGTAAATGCTTCTTGTTAATGCTCGTTCGTGGCTCTCAGGACTGTACAATCTTTGGCAAATGGAACATGTACACATTAAATTTGACAAACTAGTGCCTAGTCATCTTCTCCCTCAGGTGAAATAAAAGCATTAAATGGTTAATTGATTGATTGATTAATTAAATCTCACAATGAGGGTTTAAGGTCAGCTGAGTGCAGCACACAGTCCTCATTTATTTAGCCCTGAGGTTTAAGGAGTGATAGACTTTGGAGAGTGACCTGAGCACTTTGGACCTGCTTTCATGTTAGTGGCTCTTATGAAACAGGCACTACAGAAATTGTCACGGTAACTGTAAAATAAAACCATGCCGATGCAATGTCATGTTTTCCTCAGCCAACTTTGCGTAAATGTGTTCCTTTTGGTTATTTCACAGCAGTCTTTTGTAGTGTAAGTTAAGAAGTTAAGACAACTGTGAATTTGAAAAGAAAATCCTCCTGTGTTTAAGACCCCTGAAAGGCAGGGGAAACGGTGTCGCTGTCACATTATAATACTAGATTAATATTTCTATGCTCGGTTGCACACTGCTAAGCAACTGAAATGTTTAAAAATAAACCACCTTATGCATATGAATGTGTATGTCTTTCATGATGGGGACTTTGCAGTGTTTTCACTATTCATTTTTTGGAAACTGGAAAGTGATTTGAGGATTAATGAGTTCACGTGACACATTTCTTCTGACAAGGTGTCAGTCTGTGGTTCTTAGTCTATGTTAGGAGGCCCCAGTTGGTGAGAAATACCTAAGCAAAGAAAGAGAAATTGTAGTCTGGCTGTACATGTTTTATATCTAGTACAGGGTCACTCTGAGCGTAATAAAGCCTACTGCAGGGGGTGAAACAAAGAATTCTGCTTCAGTTTCCTGTTTCATAATGCACTAGTAGAACTTTAGGGGCAGATACACCAGACATGGAGAATTGCTCTAATCTGGCTGAGTTTGTATGTGGGGAAGTGTGTAAACTGTGCTGTCATATGCCTGCACATGTCCTTGTATAGTGGGGATCAGTGTAATCTCTCAGACTGTGTGTTTGTAGGTAGCTGTCTAATCTGCCTGTGTCTCTCTCTCTCTGCGAATGTGAGCCCACAGTGAGATCATTATAATCTGATTTTGTGTCTGTGCCCTAATTTGACTACAGGCAGGTGGGTGTAAAGGGGATGCATTCCACAGGGACTTATGGTAGGAAAATGGGTTAACTTCTGTGTTTTCATCTTCATCATCATCGTCATCACCATACTGCTTCTCCTGGTGAGGGTTGTGGCCCTATCTTACCCAGCAGGCCACAGGCTTTAACTTGATCAAAGGGATCCCCAGGTGATGCTGGAATCTGAATTGTCTGTCCTGAATCCTCCAGCAAACTCCACCCCAGGGTCTGGGGGAGGATGACCTGCCATCCGTTACGGCTGCTTATCCAGTCAGAGTCTCCTTCATTCAAGGCTGATCCTCCATACCTGGGGCTTCATGGCATTGATGTTCACATAGGTGGACAGCCAAGGGAAGGCTTCAAAACCCAGGAACTTCCTCATGCTGCCTTCACGATTCATACTCTTGAAGTATCCAGGCATGACCATGAAGTCCAAAGGCACCTGCCTGACCATCCACACTTACTGGTGGCATTTTTTGGCTCAGCTGAGATGTCCCATCTTTACAGTGCTGCTCTCAGGACTGAGGCGTAACCTCCCTAAAGAGGGAACAGCAGCCCTTCCCAGATCAGCAGGGTGGTCGTGCTCTTTCCACGCCCGGATCAGCAGGGTGGTCGTGCTCTTTCCACGCCCGGATCAGCAGGGTGGCCGTGCTCTTTCCACGCACGGATCAGCAGGGTGGCCGTGCTCTTTCCACGCACGGATCAGCAGGGTGGCCGAGCTCTTTCCACGTAATCCTGTCTCCAACTCTTTCGTAATCATCTGCCATAGTTGCAGAACTTGGCCTGGATTTTAGGTAATCTAAATTCACATCAGGCATAAACAAAGGGATGGAATGAAAAGAGTAGTAGAGAGAGAGAGAAACGGAGAGAAGTGGGAGAACAGAAGGAGGAGAAGAGGCTATTAAGGTAGATAAAGCTCTAGACTCGATAGCATTCCCTGATCCACAGCATTATGTCACTTATTCATCGGCTGTCAGGTTACCTGGTGCCCTGCGGGGGTGCGGCCATGACAGCAAGGGCTGGGGGCAGTGCTGCTATCAGTCACTATGCAGCCGTTTCCATCTCATAAAAATGAGTGATGGGAGGCGATGGTAAGAGTGGAACAAACTACTTGTTTGCAAATAAGGTGAAATGCTAAGATATAACATTTAACCTTTGTCCTGTGTTAGCTTTCTGTTCCTATCTCTTATGTTAGACGGGTCGGTGCCGACCCGTGTATTAAATCAGCCATAAAATACCCTCAAAACAAAATTTATCATCCAATTTGTTTCTTACCTCTTGGTTACCTTGTTAAGCTTCCTTATCCATGAAAAGATTGGTTTTAACCTTGCTATCATGTTCGGGTCGGCACCGACCAGTTTTTAAGTTTAAAATGCATAAAAGCACCACATAAATTTGTGTACTGCATCAGAACCTCTATTTAAACAAAATTTATAATAATTTAAAAATTTCACTAGGCAAGGCATGCCCAGACATGTAAGGCAACATAAGACCAATTCCGTTTATTTATATAATTATCCTGAGGTTTATTTTACCATTATTTTTTTATTGAAAACGAGAGGTATGCTGTTAAAAGAAAGGTCCAGAAAGCCACACCAAAAATATTAAGATATGTGGAGCAGATACTCTCAAAATCATTGGAAGGTTCCCACCCCACCTCACAAGAAGAGCAGCTGTTTACCCATAACTCTCCATTGTACAGTGCCCGCCCAGAGCCCCCCCCCCCCCCC